TCCCACCCCCCCAACTCTCCCACTCCCCACCTCCCTACTTCCCCCACCTCCCCATCCTTCCACTTCCCACCTCCCTACATCCCCACCCCCAACTCTCCCACTCCCCACTCCCCAATCCTCCCCACATGCCCCATTCCTCCTCCTCCACACCACCCCATCTCCCTACTCAAAATGGTCCAGGCAGTGGCTGTGGAAGGTCTTCCCGCACCCTGTTCAGGATAAAGCAGGATCCTATCTGCTCAGGTGAAAGTTCCCTGGTTTTCATTGTGTGGTAGCTATGTGCCCATAAGATTGTCCTTCTCCATGCAGTTGATCTCCATCCATCTGAATTGTGATGCTTATTCCAGCATCTCACCCACATTTTTACTCTTTCTCCTACTGAGTTTTGTTTTCAGTAAGTACCCCTGCACTTCAGGGTGCTCACATTTTCCGTGGTCAAGATTCTATGTAAAAATCTTTTTGTCCCTGATGGAGAGAGGCAGTTCTGCTGTTCTGACTAGATTACCGTCCTACCACAAGTCTTGATTGAACTATTTTAGATTTGGGAGTCAAATCGTAATTTTAGGATAGCTTCCAAGAAAATTAGTTGTTAGTGTTGTTGTTAGGTGCTTCTGAATGTGACCCATAGCGACCCTCTGAACAATAGTGAACCCTGCCCTATCCTGTGTCATCCTCACAATCTCTGACACACTCAAGTGCATGATAGGTGTCACTGTATCTCTCCATCTGTTTGAGGATCTTCCTGTCTTTCATCAGCTCTTTCCCTTTCCAAACGTGGTGTCCCTCTCCAAGTAATAACCTATGTGTCCAAAGAATATGAGATGAAGCTTTGTCATCTTTGCCTTCAAGGAGCACTCTGGCTGCACTCCAAGGCATATCTGTTTTATTTTATGGCAGTCAGTGGGATCAGCACTCTTCTCCAATACCACAGCTCAGAGGTATCAGTTCTCCTTTTGTTGGCATTATTCATTGTCTTGCTCTCAGATGCATAACAAGTGATTGAAAAGGACCATGGCCTGAATTAGATGCACCCTAGTTTACAAGAAAATTAGTCAAACTCATTAAAATAAAAAATGTCAGACATAAGTAATGGAGGAAATTATTTTTTTTAAAGCCATAAACAAAATTAACCCAGCAAAGAAAAGAAAATGGAACAAAGAAATCAGCTGTACCACCAAAAGGATTGCAACAAGGATGCATTTAGACATTATACTAAGCAAAATAAGTCAGTCACAAAATAACTATGATGGTGTAAGACCATCATAAAAACAAGGATAGGTTTGCACATAAATAGAATTCACTTGGCGTCGTGCAAAAGGAGCAAGGACGACATGGACACAGCTGAGTCTGACTTCTATTAATTCCATAAAAGAAAACGCTTTCCATCAGTCACACCACAGTGAAGAACAAAGAGCTGCAAGGTCAGGCAGGGCCCCTCCTCGGCTGCATCTACTTCTACTGATTTCTGGGTCTGAATTTCATTGCAAGGGACCACACAGAATTTATAGTCTCTTTTTACTCAGAGTTGTGGCATTTATTAGGGAAGCAGGGTGAGGAAAGAAGGCAAAGGATATCACATAAAGTCAGGGGTTAACATGTTTCTGCACACTTTTAAACTGACAACCGTGCTTAGAAACACAATTTATTTTTTTCAATGTATTACTGTCATTTGTGGCAACGTGTTAAGGCATAGCAGAGCCACGCCAGGTTCACAGCAAGACCAGTGTTCCCCCTCATCCACACAGCTTCTCAGTCAGCAGCAAGGTACTGCTGGTGCAGGAACCTCTGGCCCTGAAGGCCACATGCTGCTTTCTCTGCTACTGCTTTCCTAGTCCTGAGGTTCCCAGTTTCTGCAGCTGAATCTGCTCAATTTAACAGTGAGATTAGCTAATCCCAAACAAATAATCTGAGTTTGTTTCTTTGATTCTGCTGTACTTACTCCTTGTGTAAATGTATTCTTTTGTTTGTTTGTTTGTTTTGTGTAAATGTATTCTGTGTTCTGATCCAGTAATTGAAAGTTCCAATGAGAAAATCATCATTTTTGCTCAGGAACTACAGAGCTCAGTTTCCTTGCCTCCTTTTCTTCATCTAAGAGGCATTTTAAAATATGACTGTTTCATTTTAATTCATGCAAATCTGAATGAGCTTATTTCATTGCGAATGTTTTGTCTGTGGTTTCACGTTGCTGTTCCTGTTGTTAGGTTCCATCGAATATGACCCATAATGACCCTGTGAACAGCAGATCTACATACACCCTATCCTATCCTGTGCCATCCTCACATTTCCTGACACTATTTGAGCCCATTGTGGCAGTCACTGTAGCAGCCCACCTGGTCAAGGGTCTTCTTCTCCTTTACCAACCCTCTACTGTTCTCAGAATCATGTCCCTTTCCAAGAAAGAGCCCCTCCCAGCAACATGCCTGAAGTATGTGAGGTGAAACCTCATCATCCTGGCCTCTGAAGAGCATTCTGGCTGTACCCTCTCCAAAACATTTTTGTTTGTTCTTTTGGTAGTTCACGGGATGTTCAGCACTCTTCTCCAACACCACAGCTCAAAGGCATCAGTTGTCCTTTCGTCAACCCTTATCCATTGTCTGGCTCTCAGATGCATAGCAAATGATCAGAAGGACTGTGGGCTCAGATAATGTGATTCTAAACCACAAGATCTTCCAGTAAAAGTCGGTCTTATTTGTTTTGCTTTATTTTTTTTAATTTATTATTAATTTCAATGAAAATTTACAGACACTTTGGATTTCCATCCATTCATTGTTGTACATTTCTCCCCTCCTAACCCTCCCCCAGTACACTACCTTCTTGGAAAAGTAAAAGAAAAATTCTTTCATTGTTTTACGAACCCTCCCCCCCAGGTCCACTCCACTATGCAGCCTTTGCTCTGGACTCCTGTCATGACAAAAATACCTAATCACATATCCCTTTTAAACAGTTTTCTCCTTCATCTGTTTCAATACAATGTACATTATTGAACCCATCTTTCTCAGTCTCCCTCCCACCCCAATGTCAGTCCTGTTCTACAACAGTGGCACCATGCAGTATTTGTCCTTTTGTGACTGAGATATTTCACTCAGCATAGTGTCCTCCAGGGTCACCCATTTTGAATACTATCACATGAGTTCCTTGTTTTTCAATGCAGCGTAGTATTCCATTGTGTGAATATACCACAACTTCTCTATCCATTCGTTTCTTAATGGGCACCTGGGTTGTTTCCAACTCCTTGCTATTGTGAACAAAGCCGCAATAAACATGGGTGTGCATATATCTGCTTGGATGTCAGTTATGGTCTCTTTGGGATATATTCCCAGTAGTGGGATTTCTGGGTCAAATGGTATCTCAGTTTGCAACTTTTTGAGAAAGCACCATACCGCCTTCCACAGTGGTTGCACCATTTTACACTCCCACCAACAGTGAATAAGGGTTCCTGTTTCTCCACAACCTTGCCAGCATTTGTTGCTTGCTGTTCTGTTAAATTTTGCAATTCTGACTGGGGTGAGATGATATCTCATAGTTGTTTTTATTTACCTCTCTCTTAGAGCTAGGCATTTTGAACATTTCTTCATGTGCTTGTTAGCCATCTGAATGTCTTCTTTGGTGGAGTGTCTGTTCATATCCTGTGCCCATTTTTCTATTGGATTATTTATCTTTATCTTGTTGTGATGGCTTTGTTTATTTCTAACATGTGGTCTCAGGTATTGCTTTTTTTCTGGTCTGTTTTTTTAAACACCTGGTGGACTGTAACTGTGATTTTAAGAGTCGATTCCCATACATGGCATACCTGGTTAGTTTTCTGAGACTCCAGTCCTAACCTAACAGGAGTAGACACCCTTGCCTTCCTATCTTGGAGCAGCTGATTAACCCTAACTGCCATCCTTCGATTTCCAGCCCCACATGGAATGCACTGTGCTGCACCTGGCCTCCTTAATAAGAGTGAAGAGCATGGTCGTCTGGGATCTGGATTTGTACAGGAACTTTCCCAGACTTCTGGCTGGCTCTCTCACAATGCCTTTGGGGTTTCAGTTGCTGCATGCTTCCCCCACATCATTGGGTAAAGGGAACAAGAGACACACTGCAGTGAAGGTTACAGCAGGAGACTGGTCATGTAGACTGTGCAAGTTCAGAGTGTCCCTGTTTCCACTGAAAGAAATGCTGGCTTGTAATAGCCCGTGTCTGTAGTTGGCAAGGTAAGTGCTAACAAAAAGGTTAGCAGTTCAAATCCACCAATTGTTCTGTGATAGAAAAATAAGGAGGGCAGTCGTCTTCAGTGATAGGCTTGGAAATCCTATGGGACAGTTCTGCTTTGTCCTGTGAAGTCACTGTGAGTCTTGCTGAATTAACAGCAGGCAGGTTCTGTTTCTCAGTTATTCCTGTGTACTTCCTATAGTTTGTTGCAGTGCAGATGGATTTTTATTTAAGCAGTGTCATGCAAAGCTCACTGTGGATGTGTGCATTTGACCAGGCCCAACGGTGACAGCACTTATTGCTCACTGACTGCTCTTTCCCTACAGACGGTACCCATGACCTGGCTGGGGAGTCCAGGAATCTCAAAGAGGTGAAGGAGTGGTTCGTGTACGCTGGGAACCCCTTGAAGCACCCAGACCTGGTCAGGCCACTGCCAGTGAGGATTGCAGGTACCTTATGCATGCAAGTCCTGGCCCGCACACAGAGCCAGGTGTGACTCCAGACACACTTACTTGCCCTGTCTAGACCCAGCTCTGGGACTAAGGCTACAGTTGTCCGAGGATGTCCACGGAAGTGTAGTCAAGTGCAGGCCGCTTCCTTGGATGCCATGCCTGCTGTGTTCTGCCCCTTCTCGCAAAGCCAAAGATCCTGGTGGAAGAGGAGATGAAGCAGAATATATATGCCCAGGGCGAGGGAACCACCTGAGCTAAGGACCAGGTTGTTGAGATGGGGGCTCACACTCCAGAGGGCCACATGGCTCAACCGACACTGGCATGAATGAGAATTACCTTGCTCTTGAAAGGGAACGGTGATGCATTCGGAAATTATGTTTTCATGGGCAGTAATTCAGAACATGGAGGGAAGGAAAAACAGTTCACCTGAAGTTAGCTTTGGAAGTCAACTCGAAGCCTTCTTTTCTACAAATTCTTGGTACTAGACGCAGGTCAGTAATTTGTGCCTTTAGGGATAATATTATTTGTGCAGAAAACCAAAGATGAGAGGCTGAGGTCTCAGACATGATTTTCAGTGACCTTTGCCATTCTTTACAGACAAAATTCTTTTCTAAAATTTTGATAACACATTTTTGGCCTAGATTGTAGGGAGTTGTGAATCCATCAGCAGCTTCACGGGAGAAAGATGGGCATGTCATTTAGGCCTCTGAAAACCTCCTGGAGAGTCAGCTAGTAATCAGTTCTGACTTGACAACAGTGTGTAAATGAGAGTGTGCGAACATTACATTTTCTCATGCCACTGTTCTCCTCCTTCACAACTCAGCTCATTGCTGTCAAGCCAGAACCAACTCATACTTGAATTTCTGAGACTTACCAACATGGAAGAACATTGCCCACCTTGATCCGGCAGAACAGCTTGTGGATTCTTAGACCCAGAGGGGCACAGCCCTTGGCTTGGGAGCACAACTCCCTAAAGAATACACCACTAGAGCCTGTAATTTACTAAAGGATCTGGGCATTACAGATTGTTTTTAATCCTTGAGATTGTATTGGGAAGGAAGTTGAGAAAAGTTATTGTAGAGATTGTTTCTGTAGTCTTATCAGTCAGTCAGTGATAAACTCAAACCTCAAAACTAAGACTGTTGTTAGTTGTTACTGAGCTGACAGCTTATAGCGACCCTCTGAACAGCAGATGTGAACCATGTCCTGTCCTGTGCCATGCTCACGTTCTTTGTTGGCCATTGTGTCAGTCCATCTTGTTGAGGGTCTTCCCCTTTTCCATCATGATGTCCTTTTTTGAAGATTGGCGCCTCCTGAGAGGGTGCTCAAAGTATGTGAGATGAGAGTTCACAGTCCTCGCCTTTAAGGGTGCAATCCTCGTTGCACTTCTTCCACACAGATTTGTTTGTTTATTTTGACACGGGCTGTTCAGTGCACTTCTCCAACACCACATCCAAAGACTTCATTTCTTCTTCAGTCTTCCTGATTTATTGTCCAACTTTCAGATGCATAGGAAACAATAGAAAAGACCATGGCTTGGATCAGGTAAACTTTCTTTAGCCTTTACACTGACACCTTTTCTCTTTAGAACTTAGGAAACGTCCTAGGAGACTTTCCCCAGTGCAGCATGTCTTTTTCTTTCTGGCCTGCTGCTCCCATGGGTGTTAAAGGAAATTTTTTACAGCTTCAAGTCTTTTCTACAGCTGTCATGATGGTCTAGTGCCTGTTGGTCTAGTAGTAAGGATTTTCATCTTCTTGATTTTGAGATGTAATATATATTGAAGGGTGCATAGTATTTTGATTCCCTGATAGGCATCTGAAAGTTGAATAGTGAATGTAGAAGACTGAAGAATAATTGATCCATTTGGATTACAGTGTTGGCAGAGAATATTGAATAACTATGGGTTGCCAGAAAAAAAACTTAAACATGAAACCTAGAAACAGAACACTTTGCAAGCTCCTTTTTGTTTAGTGTTTTGAGGATATGTTTTCTGTAGCTTAGTGGCCTCAGATCTCCTGCACTGGACCTTTAGTGTCAGTGTGACATACAGCCTTAGCCCCACCAGGTCAGGTGAGCAGGACCTAGAGCTGGGAAGTGTGTGTTTCTCTCTCTGCATCTGAAAGTCACTGGCTTGGAGGTTATGAGTGTAATGAGAAGGGCAGTGGTAGCATTTGAACCACGATGCTGCTGAACTTGCATTCAAAACAGCACAGAAAGTTTTGTAGTAAGGCTGCGCCTTCATTGAAAGCCCTCCAACAAGCTGGCTACTCAGAGTTCCGCTTTATTTTGTTCTGGTTCTCTAAACCAAGAAGTTACGTTCCTTCAGGTTAGAGGTCGAAGTATATCACGAGGGAAAAGACTCATGCTCTTTAACTCCAGAAGCTATTCTCCTTCAGGAGGGACACCAAGCTTGAAGACATTGTGGCTGTCCCAGGAACCAAGCATACATGCCCGGCGCTTCGATGTGCTCCTGGCATGCTTCAACCTCTCCTCCATGCGGGAAGACCTGCAGGCTGTGGAGGGCCCACTCAAGGCACTATGCTGTCTCCTGATCTACCTCTTTGTGCAGGTAATTGTCATGTTGTGTGTTGCAAGAGTTCCAGTGATGCTACCTCTATCCTTACTTCTGTGAAGGCCAGTGCCTGGGAGCTGTCATCTCCAGCACATGCTCCGGTGGCTACAGTCCTTTGAGACTCTTTTAAGTGAGAGGAGGTGCCATGGATAAGTGAGTATGTGAAACACTACCTGTTGGATTTGACTTAGAGATTTGCAACTCAAATAAGTAACTTTAGGAATAAGATAGGCATTCCCCAAGATCCTTCCTGCCCTGGAGTCCTGCAGGAGTAAGGCTGATTTCTGCTATTAATAATGTACTGGATTTGAGGTAATTATCCTATCTTGAGTCATTAAGGATTGCTTGGGCTCTGGTCTGGTGATGAAGGTCCTGTCCTGGAACTGAGGAGAACTGGCAGATGTCAAGAATTGAAACTCAGATTTTTTTTTTAGGACATCACCGAGGGAGCAGATATTTGGGATGTGAAGAGCTTTTTCATGAAGATTACTGAAATCTGGGCTAATTAGGAGAGAACGGCTGACTGAGATCTGGGCTGGTTATGAGAGAACAGCTAGCTGAGAGCTGGGTTTGTTTTCTTCAAGAACAGCTGATTGAGAGCTGGGCTGATTATGTGAGAGCAGCTGACTGAGAGCAAGACTGGTTAGGAGAGAAAGATTGGCTGGAACCTAGATTAGTTAGAGAGCTGGCTGAGAGCTCTGTGGTTTTGTAAGAAGAGAGCTGGGCTGGTTAGGAAAGAATAGTGAACTGGGAACTAGGATGGTTAGGAGAGAATAGGAGACAGAGCTGGGCTGGTTTCCTGAGAGAAGAGCTGACTTGACTAAGGCTGATCTGTTTATCTGCAAGAACAACTGATAGAGAGCTGGGCTGGAGAGATGGCTCTGGCTATGAGAGAACAGATGACCAAGGCCTGGGCTGGTTATGAGAGAATAGATGATTGAGAACTGGGCTGATTTTCTGAAAAGAGCCAAGTAAGAACTGAGCAAGAACAGGTGAACAAGAGCTGGGCTGGTGAAGAGAGAACACCTGACTGAAAGCTGGGCTGGTTGCCTGAGAGAACAGCTGGCTAAGGACTGAGCTGGTTGGCTGAGAGATGAACTGGTTACCTGAGAAAACAGCTGGCTGAAAGCCTGGCTGGTTGTAAGATAGCCATTGACTGAGAGCTGGGCTGGTTATGAGAGAACAGCTGACTGATAACTGGGTTAGTTCTGAGAGACAGCTGATAGCTGAGTGTGTTATATAAGACAACAGCTGTCTGAGAGCTGGACTAGTTATAAGAGGACAACTGGCTAAAAGCTGACTGGTTAGATTAGAGCTGCTGGCTGAAAGCTGGACTGGTTTTCTAAGTAAACTGGCTGATGTCTGACCTGGTTACAAGGGAACAGCTGACTGAGAGCTGGGCATTTTATGAGAGGACAGCTGGCTGAAAGCTGCGCTGGTTATGAGACAACAGCTGGGTAAGAGCTGGGCTGGTGATGGGTATATAGCTGACTGAGAGCTGGACTGGTTATCCAAGAGAACAGCTGACTGAGCTGGGCTAGTTATCTGAAAGAACAGCTGATTGAGAGCTGGCCTGGTTATAAAAGAAGAGCTAATTGAAGAGAAAAGCTGACCGAAAGCTGGCCTGGTTATGAGAAAACAACTGGCTTAAAGCTGGCCTGGTTATGAGTGAGCCTCTGGCTGAGCGCTGAACTGGTTTTCTAAGAAAGCAGTGGAGTGAAAGGTGGCCTGGTTAGGAGAGAACAGCTGACTGAGAGCTGGGTTAGTTACGAGAGAAAAGCCAAGAGCTTGGCTGCTTATGATAGAGCTGCTGGCAAAAGGCTAGATGGGTAATCTGTGAGCTGTCTGAAAAGCTGTGTGGGTATGCTTTCCACTTTGGAGACCTGGCCAAGCATCACCTGTATGATTCTTAACCTGATCCAGATTATTCCTAGACCTACTCGTGCTAAGCTGCAGCCTCTTATTTCCCAAGTAAACCACAGAACTCTCACCATGGCTTATGAGTTCTGTGTGGCTTTTGCAACAATTACCAAAACAATAGGACGAGAATGCTGTGAGTGACGTGGTATCATAAATACGTAGAAGTTGCATAGCAGAAGTATACCTCATTTGCAGTTTCCCACTGGCAAAGTTACCCCTCCCAACTCTTACTCATGAAGCTGTTCGTGACCCTCCTCCACTCTTGTCCATCTTCTGTACTCTCTGAATCTCTCCACTTTCCATGAGCCTTGAGTGCCCATCCCTGGCTTTGAGCTTCCAGAACTCACTAGAGGCCAGCTGTGCCACTGTCCACACTTTCCTGTGCTTCCCCTCATTTCTCCCTTACTCTTCTCACAAATATTTGAGGGGGCTTGTGTTCTGGGTCCCAGGTGTATTTAAGTAGATTCAGAGGACATTATTCACTTGGGATATATGACTGTGACATTTACTCTGCTCTGATCACCCCAGCCTTGCCAGAATGACTTTTTCAGGCAGTCTTGACTTTATAACCGCCTGTGGGATTTTGTTAAAAAAAAAAAAAAGATCACTGGATTTCTCTACAAATCAGACTTAGCTGGCCCCTGAGGATGACCCATAGACATTGTGGAACTTTTTATATAGCTAGCTAATATGTAGAGAGGAAGTCTGTTATAAGCCCAAGCCAAGTATGTGTACTCTAGGACCTCACAGGCAGTGGATCGAGAAAGAAGAAGCTTTCCTCGCCTCCTGCACCTCATCCCCACTTGTCTTTCTCAAAGGTCTAATCATGTCCTCCATATGAGATCTGCATTTGAGGATTGGACTTTCCACAGCCTGAAGCTGCATTCCCCTCTCTCTCCCAGGTGGACACCCTTGGCCTGGAGGACTTACACGCTCTGATCTCACAGGCATTGTGCCTCCAGGGGAAGTCGACAGCCCAGCTGATGGACTTGCAGGTACAGACATGCTGGTTCAGGACCCCTTTTATCACTCCCATTGCTGTGAGGTGCACAGAGAAACAGTCATAAAGCAAGCGGAATTGAAATCCTTTTCTCAGGAATAGTAGCGTCATCTCCTGGGGCTCAGTGTGCAGCTGAGCTGGAATTCTGTTAGTCCAGAGAAATAATAGTTTAAAGTGATCGTCCCTTCTACCCCCTTGCTTCTCCGTTCTTCCCTGTCTCCTGATAGCAGCTCATCACTTGTCAGCAGGGCAGCCATGCTCCCTCTGAGAGATGTCCATCCTCATTACTGTGCTGATAGTCCAACAGTGAAAAGAGAATAGTTCACGTGGCCCTGCCTAACCTTACTAACTCAGCAGACTCCTTCCTAGTATTGGCAATGAGCCTGTTAGCAGCCGTGGTGTCTGCACCTCTCTCAGTTGCACTGGTGAACTGTGTCCCCTCAAAGCCAGCCTGCAGAGGCTGCGCAGCAGTTACCACCTGGACCCACCTCTCATGTCCCTGTCATTTCTGCTTAGACATCCTTGTGTCTGAAGTGGTTGTGTGTGGTTTTCGTGCCCTTCCTCTAACTTCACCCAGTGCCCTTCCCCTTCTGCTCTTCCAGACCTGAAGAACATTCTGTGCTTGATCGAGTAACCATGGGTCTCAGGCTTGGCTCTGTAAACACCCTTTGATGGTGACATAAGGGCTTCCATAGTTTATTGCGGGGGAAAACCTAATGTTTTCTTTGGTAAATGGCTTTGTTTTAATCCAGCTGCATACGTCTTACTGAGTTTAATATATTAACTAGTTCTTACAGCTATTTATGTCAATGATCAAGATTTTACTGAAGATTATCAAAAAACGACTGGAACAGCACATCAACAGAGAACTACCAGAAGTCCAGGCTGGGTTTAGAAGGGGTCATGGTACTAGAGATATTGTAGCTGATGTTAGA